GTAAATTTCATTTTACTGCTTTTACTATACAATATATTTATGTCAGTTCTCATTTTAACTTAAATATTTTTATGAAATACTAAAGTACGCATAATTTTTGACATGGAGATTATAACAAAAAAACAAGATAAGTCATCATCAAAAGCTAATACTCGAACAAATGGAAAATTCACCATTCTTTGATCCCATTGTGAGCTCTAAAATTAAATTAGGAATTATAATGATATTTTATAACATCACTAGTCTGTAATCGACTATGTCTGGCCGTTCAGTATACCAAATGTGGGGAATCTACCAAACCTTTGATCGGACCTCAGTTCCCACAATAAGTTTTCCCATCAATTTCATTAAAGCTTATTATTGATGTTTCGCGGTATATTATAAGATATAACGGACATTCCCTTGCATAATGATTTTCACTTACCGTCTATTGATAAACTTACTATAATATGGCACAGAACTAAAAAAATCTTGACAAATTAATCATCCATTCAAACCCTCTGATCCGAAAATTATACTCCTTAACAATGCCTACCAATATTACTCGCTGTCTAAGACTTCTTCTGATATAGCAAAAAACTACTTAACAAAAGTTAACTTGAATTCATATTAAGGATGCTGTATAGCATATTTGTGTTTAGAAAACGAGTTATCGTCTACACATCTCTCTCCCCAAGTCTTTGACGTCAAATAATGTTATATTCATCGTATAGAAACTCTGTTAGTTATTAAATAAATAATATAGGTCATTTTATATAAACGACATATATTATGGTATAAATTTCATTAAGGAAACATTTTTTTTTTTTTTTTTATAATATTATACGTTGGTAAAGTGGTTAATATTGAAAGTCATTATCCAATTACTCGTATACCTACATTCTACAAATAAAGATGGCATTTAAAATTTTTTCAACACTTAAGATTATTGAGATAAATTATGTGGATAATGATAATTAAGAATAATTTATTAGTAAAATATAATAAATATTTTGAATTATTTTAAATTATGGATATTGGCTATTACGCAGTGAATCCGACAAATGCGACTAAAAACAAAACAGTTTGTATTTCTTCGCATCGGTCGCATCGTATTGCGACGGAACAGCATGGTCAGAACAGAATTCGTCGGACTCACCGGACTTACATAAGACACGGCGTTATAAGTATTAACTGTATCAAGTAATAAATTACTAACCGAATACTAAAATGAAATCGTTGTATAATCATATAGACAGTAAATTCTGATCCCTTATTTTCAACGTATAATAAACACAATACTTCAAAGAAACAGAAAAATATATGATTAAGACTTTAGTGCTTCAAATTAATGCTGTCAATGGCTCATTACTTGGAATTAACTGTATCCTCAATGGAAAAAAAGATAATATTAAGCTACCACTAATCAAATAAGAATACATAAATACACAAATTCAATTTCCAGAAAAAAATTAATAATTTTGAAGAAACATAATGATTAATGAATGTAAAACGCAATAAAAATAATAAAAGTTAAAAATCGTGTTTATTATTCAATAATTTATCAAACAGATTATTTAGACAAATATAATAATTAATAGGTACTCAACACTAGGAGACATAATAATTTAATGAGTAAAAAACATGTTTCAATATATATTTTTTAACGGAAGGTTAGCGACGTCCTCATTTGGAATTTAATATCGCCGAGATTTACAGTATAGATTTTTGCATTATTTTATAATAATAATAAAGACCATAGAAAAGTATAATAATAGTGTTGAAAAAAAATTAAATATAACACAAATTTACAATGTCCCATTCAAGTCCACGCAAAATGGTCTTTTACAAACGATTTCTTATATCATTTGACATTTTAATAATAAAAATATACCACGGCCTCAAATACTGCGCCCAACTTCTATTAAAAAGAATCAGTATAATACTATAATGTAGTGCGCAATGGGCTATAACAATATACATCTTAGTGAAATGTTCATTGACCACACTGACCCGATCGGCATTTTTAATACTGGTCGTTGACGTGTACTATTTCATATTTTTATAAAATATGTAAGCAAGTAAGCAACATAAAAACAAAAACAATTTTCTCTCTACGAAAAATTATAATATATTATTGTATATATTTTGTCGTTCCGACTCAAATCCGGACGAGGATAAAATATATGGTTGGACTGTTTTAACATTTATCATTTTAATTTTAATTTTTTTAATTTTTAATATAACATAATATACACGGCGATCGAGCCCATTTAAAACTATATGTACGGACAATTTTTCCGTGAATTTGATTATGTTAATTCGGTTGAACTAAAACTGTTGTCAGCTTACATGATTACGCGGGTGTAGCATTAAAACATTTAAATTCACGGTTGATCGATTATGGACCTGAAGGTTGAACGTGTAGTTTAATTTACGCTCGTTTGTTTATGCTCACATATCAAACAGACAATGATCATTATTACATTCAACCTCGACCCACCCTCCTACGCAAAAGGGTCCCCTTCCTGTTCTATTTATAAAATACCCGTTCCTTTATGATAATATAATAATATATTATATTTTGTGAGGGTTGATTGTTGTTATTATCTATAGACTATAGCCATTGGGGTTGGTTTAGTCATACAAGATTCCCTTTGGAGCTCGCTACACTACCTACCTACATACTTTGACAGTTAATTAAGAATTATTCAAGACAATATTATATTATTATATACTTTTGCGATAGACTAATATTTTGATCATAAAATCAATAAAGGGTCCAATAACATAACAAAATGCCCAATTTATATATATTTTTAAAACGTTAAAAAGTGCTGTCTTATAAAACCTATTACTCCCGTTTAATTCAACCACTGACTTACAATATACATTAATAATTTGTTTGAATCGGATCAGCAATAAAACAAATATAAATTAAGATAATACATTTTAATATTAACTTTCATTTTACTCACAATAATATTATTTTATTCGAATAATGGTAAAAATAATACTCCAGTTTTGTTAGTAAGTCTATAATATACCTATGTTCAGAATACTTATTATTGGATAACAATTTTATAGTTATGACAATATTTACCTAATCTATTATTAATGGCAAAACTATCGGCATAAAATAGAATGCCAAATACATTGGTATTATTACGTTACGTATTATCCCCGTATTAAAATTATTGTTTTATACTAATTTACTTTTAGTTGCACATAAAATATAATAATTATTGTTTGAAAATGTATGAGAAAACGTACTTTACGATCGTTTATTGTAAATGCTATAATATTAATTTAAGATGTTTCTTACCGGTCTATTACATTATACCTTATACATTTAATACACATCAGCCACAGTAAATATACAATACTATCTAAGGTTAAAACGGGGAAAAAAAAATCCAAGACATACATCGTAATGTACCTACGTCACAGGCTACAAGGCACACGCATTCAAATGGGGGATGCAATGAGGGGCTAGACCTCTGACTGCACTTAAAAAGTGTCACCTTTAAATTATTCTTTTATTCTTTACAGGTACGCTGGTATGCTCAAGGTCTCGGAGTAGAAGTAAAATAATTTCTTCTCCGTTAAAATAGATGATTGTATATTTTTATATTCGAAATTTTGTCATTTTAATTGATCAGTACTCATTTATTAGTATATTATATTATTTGTTAGTTTGATACAACGATAAATGATTAACCATGGTGTGCCTTGCTAGTTTCCATCCACCCACAACACTGTGTCGTGTTCAGTGGATAGGCCTGGTAGGCCCTGGTAGCCCTACCACCATACCCTGATTTTTAACCCTTATATATACACAAAATATGCATTTTTATATAAATGATTTTAAATCAAAAAACAAGAAATTGTATATTTATTTTTTTTTGTATTAACACCCTGAAGAACAACCATAATATTATATGATTAAAATTAGAAGTATATATAGTATTAATATTAATTATTAGTTTATATTATGATTTATTGAACATTTAAAAAAATATGTTAAAAATTCACTTAAAAAAATTAGTACATTTTTCAAATTTTTCTTATAACCTGAATTGTTTATCCTGGACACGCCTCTGGCACAACAACCCATACAATTATATTTTAAGTTTAGGCTTGAATAAAACTATTTTGTGGAATGAAGTCCGAAGGAAAATATAATTAATGTTTGTATTATATTGTTGATATTAAAAAAAAACATAATTAGTTTTCAAGCGAAGCAAGAAAACAAATTGGTCCAGCAATTGAATGAATAGTTATTCATTACCTAATGTTTTGTTGTATGGACTGCGTGGAATTCTTAAAATAAAAAAAGTAGTTGCAGACCGTTTTTGCCATTTTGAGTCACTTTTGCCTGATTTGGCTGTTTTACTATATTTTTTTTTGTTTTATAGGGTTTAATCACGCAATTAGGTATTATAACGCATAGTCTTGAAAACATGTTACCATTTTAATATCATCGGGTTAGACGTTATTTATGATACTATATCCAAGACCAAATTCAAGATAGGTCTGCGTGGACGCGTCTTTTCTAAGACTCGAGTGTGGCTGACAACGGTCATATAACACGCGTGTTGCAGCTGTAAGTCCGTAATGTCCCCTCAAATCAGATAAGTAAAGCTATTTATTAAGTTAAAGAATCCGGCGACCATTATCCTCGACAAGGCTCACGATGTCCAATTTGTTTTTTTGAAATGAGACACTGTGCACATATTATATACTAAACTGATACACGATAGTGTGGACCACGGTTAAATGTACATTATATGAGCATATAACCAGTATATTCAGTACATACTCTATATGTTTGATTATGATAAGGTATAATATTAATACACGAGTTACTCCCACGCGATCAACGCACAATTATATATATATATATACCACTGTGTATTTATAGTTTCAAAGAGACGTCGATGCGTGCAGCATTGTTTCTGCAACGTCCTATATATTATATTATCATTATGTTTGTAATGAAATAATACTTGGAGCCGTACCTTTTGGAGTTCGCTGAGTGTCAGCGTGGGCTGCGTGGTGGACATTGTGACTTGAGTTCCAGTCATGCCATTAACATCTCGAGACTGTTGGCCTGAAAACGAAAACAATTTCTATCATTAAATCTCGTAAACGTGAAAAACGCGTATATATACAATTAAAAAAAAAACCAAGTACGAAACGATTCAAAGAGCTCAGTGGAGACAGTAATATAATATTATAATAGATTAAAACGTCAAGTGAGTATATACTAAACGTATATTAAATTATATTCACTTAGTGTATTATAATATTGTAAGATACGCAATAGTGTTGATATCAGTGCCGCCTATATTACATATATTACATATTATACTACAACACAAAGGATGTCTATTTCTATCCTCTTTTAATATCAGTGAAACTGTTGTGGTGTAATATTATTTTATTCTACCCGAAACGCCTCTCTGCAGAATTGTCAATAAACTGTTAAGCCCATAGACAGTTGGACATTTCGGTATTTCGCATAACAAGTCGCCGGGCTGTAATTTATTTGCATACAGAATTTGAGTTGCAAATTATTTTTACAAAACTTGTTTTACATATTATTATTATTATAAGACCTCTGTTCGGACCATCATATGAAACAGAAATGCCAACCTTTTTTGCTGAAATATGCATTGTCAAAACTTATGAGAAAAAAAATGTTTGTATATTTTTTGAAATCTAATCTAAACTTAATTTAAACTAATAAATTAAGTTACAATGTTGTTAAACTGAACATTATGATTATGTCTTAACTTAATAACACATACAAATAATTTAAAGTTTTTCCAAATCAATAATTTGTATTCAATTCAATAATAATAATGTAATTATTATGTTACAATAGTCATTATGCACCTAAATATGTTTTTAAAAATAAATTAGTTTTCGGGTTTTAGATCTACGAGGGTTTAACTAGAAATTACGCCATGGCTCAAAATAATAAATTTATCAAAATTATTTATGTTGTTACTTGTTAGCTATAATGAATAATAGTGGAAAACTGAGATATTATTGTTGAAACTTAAACAAGGTACTTACTAAGAAAAAATTTTTATTGACATTAAAAATTCATAACAGCTTGAATAATATGTAGTTTTTCAAAATAAATTACTTCTTAGAAAATTTAAATCTATAAAAACATTTAATGAATGTGTATGTAGATATTATTCATATATTTAAATATCATTCAGCCATTTTCAATTTCAACCAATTATCTTTCTCTAATAATAAAGGTTGAATGTATATATTGTAAAAACATATATTTCATGAATAATTTTATTACTTACTGACACCATATAATATATTATATAAAATCGATAAAGTTTATAGTGACGGTATGTATAAATAATATTAAATATATTTGTCTAGCCCACGTAAAAAAAAAATAGTAAAAATATTAATTTTGTTATGAAATATACGCATAATGTTTTCAATGAAAGATAACATTATTAAATGTCATAAAATTCATGTTTTTATGATCGAATTTAACCGTACTTATTTTTTTTTTTTTTTGTGGCGAAAAAAGAGAAAATTTTATTTTTGACGGAAAAAGGAAACTATAACGATGTCTAGTTAGTAGCTAAGAAATAAGAGCGTATTATCATAATAATATATATATATATATATATTATTCTATTATTTTTTCATACGTACATAAATTCAGTGTATTTGAAAATAGTATCGAATGACGGTCATTGAACAAATAATGTGGTTGAAGGGCGAAACGATCAATTTGACTTAGAAAAAAAACTTTCTGCTGATTACGAAAAAAAAAAGTTTGTCAATTATCGGGAAAACAGAAAAAGGGTTAAGTTCAAATTTCACAAGTTTATTGGGCCATAAAACACTGATTAAAAATAATTCCTAGAAAATACTTCTACGACTTTCGAGTCAACACAATAGAATAAATAAAAAATAATATTTTTATCTTTGTAATTTACGACCAAACATACGTTTATTTTAGTTGTAAAATTGAGAAATCATTTTCTACTGAAAAACATATCTTTATGTTTAATCATTAAATATCTGTAAAATGTAAAAATAATTTCTAACTTAGAAGCCTTGATGTTTATAATAAAGTGCGGTGTGATGTGTGCCTACCTACGCTTAAATCGAATGAGGTACGCTTTTGTATCGATATAATTCAATTGAAATCAAACGAATGTTTATCGCTTCAAGTCAGCGAGCCGCTGATTATAACGCTCTCGAGTGAATTTTATCGAAAACACAGGCACGCCAGACTATTGTAGGGGCGTAAAAATATTTGAAATTGTATTTGCAATAAAACACATTGGAAGGTATTTACGGGTGTTGCTGGCTGTACGAATCGCGATCGAAAAGGAAAAAAAAAACAAAATAAAAAACAAACGCCTCCGCACAACAATTGTGTGTCAACGCACTGATTTATGTGTTATTGCAAAATGTCAAAGATCATATACATTATAATATTATATACACATAATTTTATTATGGGTTTTAAACGGAGTTTTCGATCTTGCGAAATATACGTTCGTCGTTGGGGTGGTGTACTGCAGCCACCAGTTCCTTCTTGCAGTTGTGCATTTTTTTCATTATCGTCGACGTACTGCACCGCTGCATCGAGATTATCTTTCGTACCAATCGTACCAGACGTAAAAAAAAAAACCCGAAATATAAATTTTTATCATAATAGTTATACGTATATAGATACAGTGTCGAAACACCACAATGGGCCATTAATTTTATTAGTTCCATTCCCTGCAGCTGTTACGACCTACCATAGTACCATGGATTCCATAGGGCGGCCCGAAATAAAGAATTTGGAAGTGTATACAGTATACGGTATACGGTAGGCACCTATAGATTAAACGTGTCGTTATTTTCATATTATGATTATAATCATCTGTTACAACTAATTTTGATTTTTTTTCTCCATCTCTGATCGAAATATAGGCATAAGTATTATATTATAGGTAGGTATAGGTATTATATGAATTTAATACGATTTATTACTGCGTATTGAAATATATTATAATGGACATTAATATATAATGTAAACATACAATTTTGTATTTGCTTTTCCGACATATCAAACTATTTCCTAGTATGGGATAATATTATGCAAATTATAATTAATATTTCAACGAATAGATAATAAATAAGGAAATAAAAAAATGCATAACGTCAAATTCAATAACCCATGTTTTCATAAATGAAAAACAAAATCAAATATAATTGAATATCGATGAGATAGTAAAATATTAAATGCAGGGTATGTAATTATTAGCATCAAATATAACAACAAATAGTTTTCGGAAAACTTAATTTTGTAAATAATAACGATGTACCTACATACACATATGTATAACAGCACAACAATTGTATTATTATGTATGATTCAGATACTTTTTATAAAGCAATTTTTTAAATACAAAATTGTTTTTTATTAGTTTTATTTGAATGAGTAATATATTATTTATAATATAGAGCTAGAGAGAGTGTTGAATGCAATTACTTTGAAAAATGAATAGAATTATAGCAAAAAAGGTCAAAAAATCAAATAACGTTGTCGGTTTATTTCGAAAATGTATTATTTTTTTTATAATACAACGAGAATTTGGAAAATTAGACTTTAAATTAAAGTCAAACATAATTCAAAGGAATTCACGAAAACTTTTACGCAGGTATAACATGCCTCGGGGCTGTAAAAACTAGAAAGTAAAAGCCGATAAAAGAAAGAAACAGCGGTCAAAAAAAAAACGCACACACTAATACTAACACCGGTGTACTTGAGAAATTTCTCCCTTTCGATTTCGGAATAATTGCCGGTTTGGCGAGGCTGGCAACACCGCGGCGGCCGGCGGGCGGCGGCGGCGGCGGCGGCGGCTGCATGGATACACTCACGAACATTAAATAACAGTTAGTAGGCTCGGGCAGCGACGAGAGAGCAGCAGCAGCGTGCACTTGTGGAACCGGTTTTTTTTTATTTATTATTTATTATGATTTTTTTTTTTTAAACTTATCAATAGCGACATTCCTTTCACGAGGAGTGTAAAAATATTAAAAGAATTTCCAACCGTCGTCGTCGACTCGCGCCGGCTCTTGGGACATCTCCGAACCGTTATATACGCTACTCTTATAGTTGTGGCTTGTGCATAGTAATATGGCGACAGAGCGCTTAATGATTATTAATATACGAACCACCGAGTGTAGTTGGATGTGATATTATATCCGAATCGTTCGAATTCCGTTACGTACCTACCTATATTATAATAATGTATAGGATGTTTAAAAACCCGGAGCGGCCTTAACCTTGATAATGGATTGCATTGCAATAGTTTTTACGACTTATGGAGATGTAAAATACAAATATATAAAAAAAAACAACTATCAAAGACTTCTTTCTTCTGGTGAGAGAAACTTTGTTGATGCAAAAATTAAATATAATACGCATAATGTTGCGGGCCGATTATTTTAAAATAAGAATACCGATTTTCCCATACAATTTTTGAGTTTTTGAAAAAATTATACTTGTATAATTTGGATGTACCTACCTACTTATAAGTTTACACTGTACAACACGATTTTTTTGTTAAAAATGTTATCACTCTACTCCAATATAATTATATATTATTTATGTATTGCGTAAAATATATAATACCTACGTAAGTACACCTTATAACACGATTGGTAGAAAAAAAGCGGTCATGTAAATATTTGGTAGGTACCGTAAAATCATAACTATTCCTTTTATTTTATTTCCAAATTTTTTTTCATTTTAACTATAAGTTGATATAAGTTATAAGTTTAATTGCTAAATGAAAACAATGGTTTGTCATTATGTCACTATTTTAAAATGAATGTGGCTAAATGAATTAATGTTAAGATAGTGTTATAGTATGTGTATCGGTACATGCATAATACTATGTTGTGTGGAAATATTTCAGTTTCAAGTGCGCGAATAACATATTTTATAATGCAGCACAATCTAATACCGTAGAACCAATTGACCTAAGAGTAATGCAATAATGCACACATAATTATAATAGACATTAATGTAAGCAGTAGTGGTAATGTACGCCTATGAAC